TACAACACATGCTTATGCCAGAGCATTTTGGTGAAAGTTGTGACACTCTGTTTTTCTTTTCTTTAAAGGTGTGCTGTGTAACTTTTCTGGTGGAGAGTTCGCTCACTGCTCGTCTTCATGGAGATGTTATTGCTTTGCCTGGAATGTGCCAAGATATGGTATTAGGCTTGTCTATTTCTATTAAAAAAACAAAAAAAAAAAAACATGCACGTCACACCACCAAGCTACAGGTCAGATCTATGGAAAGGTGCTCACACTCCCAGTAAGAATGTATGTATTTCAGAGCAAAAAAAAACAAAACAACAACAACTTTAATTGAATAAATTCAAGATGTATATGTTTAATGCTGTACTGTGGAATATTTTTTATATTTTTGACAAAGCAATAACATCATCACGGGCCAGCAGGTGACGGACCCTCCTTCAGGAAAGTTACACAGTGCACCTTTAGACTTCAAACTTTAGTGGTTGTAACAGCAAATGAATGTGATTCATATATCAATTTATGATAAAATGATAAAAAATGATAAACAGGATGCCCTCCCTGACATAACATCCTTTACAGACCTAGGCTTGAGAAATGTACTTTATGTTGTCCAATCATTAGTTATAAGATTAATAATTTCATTATTGTCATTATGAATATGGAGCTCAGCATCTTAGAGCACTATGGAACTTTTCACCTGCTTGTCTCCAGGGAGGACATTATGGCATCAAACGTATCAACTTGTATACATGTATTCAAACCCACATGTTTTATTGCTAAAAAAACACTTCCTTGAAAGACATGAATTATTACAGTGAGCAGACTTGCCTTTTCAGAGATGTGACCTGTAATTTGGCCTGCTGGCATCGCCTGCTCATCTCCATGTAGATAAATATCTTATATGCCATTCTAATATCATCTCTATGCAGATAAGCAGTCAGCAGACTCTCCACCAAAGCAGCTACATAGTGCACCTTAAATTTGTTGTCCTATAAATGACTTTGTTCACAATAGCTTTACTATATTTTTCAGCAGTTCTGTCAGAAACTACATCCACTCTTTAGTCTATGAATTTAGTGCCAGGACAAAAGATCCATAGATCATTGTTACTTTTGCAAAATGCTAAAAAAACAAAACATTAAAGGAGAGAATTTGGAAGTATGTCACGCTGGGGAGTGTCATAAATTTCATCTTAAATCGCACTGACTTAGTTTTCATGCAGCATGCAAGCAAAAGAAAAGAAAGATGAGCTATGAGACATTTTATGAGAATGAATGCAGAAAGTTATAGTGAAATTGAGCAGAAATTCACAACATAATAGTAACCATTAAAATTAACAGCGTAGTTACAATGTCCATAAAAGAATAAAGCCACATGTGGACAGTCATTGTTAAAAAGCTTGATGGATATTTGATAAAAGCTTGTGTTGCTTTTATCAGCTCATCGTGAACTGGCAGAGGTTTACCTGAGGGGGGAGCCCTTTGGAGTGGCGATGCCGTAACCTTTAGAGTCCAGGTTCCCACCGACCTTCATGGTGTCACAGGGCTTCCTCTGCTCGATGTACTCGTTCATGGTGGACTCCAGGAGGTAGGCGTATTTCCCTTTGGACTTCCGGACCCTCATCACACCCTCATCGGTGGTCTTCACAAACACTGAGGGGTCCGCTGCTTTCATGTACGACCACATTTTCTCAAATACTGCGATCTTGGACCTCTGTAACACAAGAGAAGAGTTATTGGGACATAAAAAATGGCAACAAAACTGATACATTATAGAAATCTTCACTGCAGATTAGTATAATGTATGTGAATGATTACTTTTGGGGTTGAAGGTGACTACAGCCTGTAGTGATTATTTAAAATGAGCTAAATGTGAACTTTTCTTTTTGCATTTTGTAACTTTTGGTGTCTATTGCTTTGCCTTGCTTGCAGTATAAGATTAAACTTATCGTTCTTCATGGAGACAAGTGATTTGCACCATCAGGTCAAGTACAGGTCAGATCTATGGAGAGGTGAACGCGCTGTTATTCAAGTGTGGCATTAGACGTGTAATCTTGCATTTATTTAATTGGAGATGTTATCATTATAATCCCCCAAAATGCATTCTACAAGCTTGCGTTCTTCTCTATGTATCTAACCTGTAACTTTGTTGACGGCATCTCCTGCTAATTTTCTTTGAGATACTAGATACAGTGATATGCCATACTCTGGAACATTACTGTAAAGCAATAATATCTACATAAAGACAAGCAGAAGCAGACACTTCACCAGAAAAGTTACATAGTGCACCAAGAACAAAACTATTTCAAAATTTTACCCTAAAAAACTCTTTGGTGGATCCTGCGTCCAGAGTCCCATAGGCGATCTCCGTCTGCTTGGCCAAATCCTCAGCGCTCTCTATAGGAGACACCATCCTCTCTACAGTGAGGAAGGCAGCCAAGTTGGCAGTATAGGACGAGATGATTATAAGGGTGAAGAACCACCACACGCCTCCCACAATCCGCCCCGACAGAGACCTAAAAACAAAAAATAAGAAAAATGCAGTATATTTATTGCACTGTTTATCTGTATTTGCAGTGAAGGCATTTTCCTCTGCAGGCAAATTATGCACACAATCAACAAAGGCAATCTAAGAAGAACGTTGACCTACATTGCATCACACTCCCTGGGCATGCACTCAGCTCCTGCAGGCTTAGTCCAATGTGCTAAGACAAGATAACCAGCTCTACAAAAGCTCTGTCAATTTGAGTTGCCAATATGCTTCGTTGGTACATGTGTGTTAATGGTTAATGAGCCATAGACAACACTTGAGTTTAATTGTACTAGAAAAGAATATTGGGTCAAATCCCTTGTTATTCTTAAGGTAGACAAGACGCTACCAGCAATTTGGAATATGGATCTTTTGACACATACAGAATCAGGACCATCTTAAAACCAAAATGGGAGAGTATTACAGGTCCTATATTACAAAAAAATGACTCTTGTGAGCTTTAAGCCATGTTATAATTTTGTTACCTCATCAAAAACATACCTGGAGTTGTGTTTTGTGTCATTCACATACGTTTGTTTAACCCAATATTATTCTCAGAAGCTCAGAATGCACTGTTCTACCTTGTGATGTCATATAGAGGTAGTTTTAATGTTAACAGCTACCTTTCACCTTTTGATCAGTAGGGAAATTTCAGGATTGAAATGATCCAAATGATTCTAGTGAAGGTGCATAGAGTTTAAAAACACAGTGGAGCACATGCTGTATTACCACACAGCATCACAAAATGCTTTTCATTTGAGATAAATATACAGTGTATGTGTAAATGAAACAAAACACAACTGCAGGTATGTTTGTGATGAGGAAAAAGCAATATCTATATCAGAAAATATTATAATATGGGCCCTTTAAATAGTTACCGTATGTGAAAAAAATCAAAACATGCTTTCTCCAAAACATTCTTTTTCAGCTGCTACATTTTAAGTGCTTTTCATGATATATATTTTAAAAAGTTACGTATTTGAAGTGGAGAGCAATACTTGAACAAGTATTGGCCATCTTAGTGGTTAAGTGTGTACTTATTTTTCATGCTGATGCTACTTCAAGTTGCTTAGCTCTTGAGATGAGAATAAACTTGAAAATAACATTTAATGGGTAAAAAAACCACAGAGATTTGGTAAAGTGCAGTACTTGTAGCTATGCAAGGCTTTATACTTATTATTTAAAATGCCGACAGCATGGAAAAAAATACACAAATTATTTAGAAACTTAAACTGGGTCTCTAGTTAGAAAGAATCCAGGAGCTAAATTCATGTTTGGCTCCATTTTCCACCACTGGAGAAAAAAGTACAGGGCTTGTGCAATTGTAATGACATAAATGTTGAAACAGTAAGTCCTTTCATCTCACTTCACCTCCATGCTCCCAGCTCAGAGTGAGGACATGACGGAGGGATTAGGAGAAGAAGAAACTCACATAAAACAGAACCATTTAAGAGGATTTTCATACGATGGAAGGATGACGAAAGAGGAGCAGCTGTGGTAAAAAGACAGGAGCTAACACTAGAATGGAGGAACAGGACCCAATATGGAGTGGACATTTTGAGTGGGCTATAATATTGAAATATCCTGATACTGAAGTTGGTGAAACAGTATCATGGACAACTGTATCACTATACTATTATTATTATTATTTGCTATATTTTAATAAATTATTTTGTGACAGTGCTACAATTTTACAGTTTGTTCAGAGAAAGGACATTGTTTATCAAATTAAATCAAATCAAACTTTATTTATAAAGCGCTTTTCATACAAAACTGTAACACAAAGTGCTTTACAGCGATTAAAAACAATCCCACATTTCCATCCACCCACCCACCAACCCAATGCATGGTTTTACAGTAACAACAGCTTATGAACATCAGAAACTACATATCCCATGATTCATTTCAGTGCAGACAACATGAAGAAATATGTTTTTTACTTGAATTCTTGGAATTATGACAGAAATAATTCAGACCAAAATCTTGTCAAGGTATTTCAAAAGCAGAAGCGTGTCCTATCTACAATAATATTAGCTTCTCCAAAATATTGCAATAAAAATCATACCGTGAGATGCATATTGTGATAAAATTGTACTGAGAGATTTGGATATTGTTACATCCCTAGTATTTTACCAAAGAAACACTGTTGTTAAAATGTATTTGGAATCACAGTATCATGATAATATCATTTTATGAGCCATATATTGAGTCTTGAGGAACAATGTGATTCCCAGCCATAGTGGACATGCATTTGGACTGTTTCTGTTCAGATGAGGGATGGAGATGGATATATATGTAGTGATTCAGTTCAAAACTCACTCACATCTGCAAATCTTGAGGGATTTTTGAAGCTAATATGTTCCCAGAATATCCTTAAATCATCAGTAAGAGATCACACTTCATAATAACTATACCTAATTACAATGAATAAAGCATGACAAAATACTTTACAATCCATAATGAAGAAAAAGTTTATTGAGAAAGATTCATATCCCAATTCCTAACCCCTTAAAAGCCCTGTTCCTGATTTTTTCCCCCATGTATTTCAGAAACATTTGTCTTGCTATATTTGTACTAACATATTTTTTAAGCAGCTCTTGAAGTCAAGGAAGTCTGCTGTGTTTTGTCTGCTTTTAATTAAAAAAGCATTTTATTTTCCGATAATCAGAAAGTGAACTGTTGTCATGCTTGTTGTTGTTAGCTTTACTATGATGGCAAAATTCTGCTCTGGTGTCTGAAAGTTGATGGAGGGTCTGTCAAATTTTCTTTTCTCCATTATTGCTTTGTCCTGAATGTTTGATAGTTATGATCAAACCTTTCTATCCTCATGGAGACCAAACTTGAGCAAGTTACTGGTCAGATCTGTGGAGAGGCAACCCTGCTCGGTCAGAATGCCAGTTTTTCTTGGCATTTTTGAGCCTGTAATTGAATGAATGAACTGTTTAAAGTCATACTGTGGAACAATGCAGGCAGAGCTATGACATATCCATGGAAACAGGCAGGTGACCATAAAGTTGCACCTTTAATAAAGTATTTGTTCATAATAGCCTTTTTCATTCTTATAATTAAGGTGCAGGTTATAAGAAAGTGTAGCCCTGGACCTTATTATTATTATTATTATTTTTAAACAGAGAGTTGTAAGTTTGCAATTATGTGAGTTGAAAAAATATGCCAGAAAACACATTTAACTGCAAGCCATAAAAATATTCAATCTTTGTGAAATATTAAACAGTGTTTCTATGGCAACTTGAGTCCCTTTTATTCCTGCCATCAGCACAAACTCATGTTCTTTGTCCAAATAATCACAAGTGAATGCTTAAATCAGTGCTGGCCCTGAACATGATTGTACAGCTTTTGTAGTTCATTTTACTTTTGAATAAATTTTCCAGGTATATTTCTGATATGAATGATTTGCAAAACTATTGTAGACTGCTTAAAATATTTAGAAGAGAGCTGTAGCACTGCAGACTTCAAGATTGGGCGGCGCACTGCTGCAAAATACGTGTCAAAGTTACGGTGCACAAACAACCATGACATTTCATATTGAAGCTGGTGTGAAGAAAAAGGGGGATGGCAGATTTAAAAACTAGAGTGGATATCTCGACCCAGGGCTGACAAACTCCTTAGCTTTGCCTCTACTGCCCCCGAGAGAGGCAGTAAACAGCTGTCTAATCCTTCTCCTTCAATGGTCCCTTTTTCTTTATTTATTTCTCTCTGCTCCCTCCTTCTCCTTCAATGGTCCCTTTTTCTTTATTTATTTCTCTCCCAGCGTGCGCTCTCTGGCAGCTCTCTCCCGGTGATGCAGGCTTTTACAAAGGAAGGAGGCCAAGTCGACAGTGGCCTTCACCTTGGCTTCAAAACCATCCAGCGTCCATTCACCACAACACAGACCATAAACTAAACTAGACTACTGATTTGTGCAACATTAGTCCAGGTTGTTCAAGACCTAGCTGTTTTATCTATCTATCCAATCCAAACAGAGCACGTAAAAGCTGCAGCAGGCACTTTATCGTGTGCATCTATGACTAAATGACGTATTAATGGCTCTTGTTTATATTATGTGGACTGTGTTTTAAGATCTTTTAAATCTGAATAAATGCTGTGCACTCTGAACTTCTTGCACCCTTTTTCTAACGTGCTTCTTATACTGAAAATGGCAAATAACCTGAACTGAAGTCAGATCTGTGGAAAGGAAACCCAGCTCAGAGTAAAAATGCATGAGTACGTAGTGGAAAAAAATCTAAAGCAGTAACCTCAGCAGGTAGTGGACCCACCTATCAGAAAAGTTACATTCTGTACCTAAATGCTTTATCTAATGCTTTATCTGTTCTGGATGTGAGCTCATTTAGACCTGGTTTATTCATGATTTATACAAAGATTTTTGCAGTCCTATTAAATCCAGTTTAAATCTTGGTTTAGTTTAGTCTACATCAAGTCAAGTTTAGCACTTGTTTATTCACCAGTGCTCATTTAGTCCATTACAGTCTGTACTTTGAAAGACAAATATCTTCTGAGGTGGTCCTTGGTATGAGAGGTTTGGAGCACACAGCGGTGGGTAAACTCACTTCTGTTTGTCTCTGTTGGTCTCTGTTTGAACTGTCGTCCTTTGAGCAGTATACTCATGCATTTTAACAGCCCCAATCTCTCACACAACATTAGTAAAGCTGTCCCATTACTTAGTACGAGGGAACATTTCCAAGTAGCCCTGAAATTTCTTCAACTTGTTAAAGCAAGGATTAATCAATTATTCAGTCTGCCTTAACTGCTTTACAATGGGAGTAATGATAATGTATGAGCTTTAGAGGCATTCATAAGGTACAGGCAAACCACTGTAAGAATATTGTTCTATAATTATATATGAATGGATTTAATCAGGGATTTTAGCGGGGTCTGTGCGTGCTATGGCATTCCTATCTACAGTTATATCCTATATTCACTTTTTCAATACAATTACCAATTAACGCAACAATATAAAGCATAATTTAA